TATGGTGTAGCTTGTTTAAATTGTGTGTGTCTCGCACAGAGTTGTTGGTATTATTTGGGCATAGTAGTAAGTTATCACATGAGGATATTCCTTGTCGGACACCGACGAAGGTTGTCAATATATGTATAAGAGCACAAAGTAAATTAACTAGCTAAGTTAGTGCTATCATGATATCACCCTGGTGGGTCAGACCTCGAGAAGTGATTAGCCTTGTGGGGGCAAACCACCAAACTTGATCGACGTGTACTAACGTAGCCTTTTTGATTCCTGGTGTCAGGAAAAATATCGTCCCCAGACAGCGAGCCACCCGAAGGTAGCGCATCACCCAAGTCAGTTCAGCACCGCTAGCATGCCACCGGTGTTCTTTTGTTTTTGTTTTATTTTGATCGGTTTCCGAGGACTCTTTGCTCGAACGGTCGGTGCGATACCTGTTCTTTTCTTGTATCGTTTTTTTTTTATTTTCTAAATATCACACAGCAAATTCATCTCTATCTTTTAGAAATAAGTCTAAGATAGATTATATTTTCTTCTTCCGAGTGGTTTGTACCCTACTTTTGTTTTTTTTTTCCCGCGGCGTCGTATGTGCCGGGTTTTGAGACCACGGGCTCCCCATCTTTTGTGGACTATTGAGCTAATGTGAGAAACAACAACAAACAACAAACATGAATCGTGTCCGGACATGAGGCGCACCCAAAGCGATCGGCGTGTCTACGCTGCCACCGCTGGGAGGGCCCGGGAGCAGTCGACCGGGCTACGACTCGCCTCCACTCACATGAAAACCACATGGTTTTCTAGGATCGTGCTCCCTCAAGTGACATGAGACCCCATCGTCCCATCGTCACCAATATGTCATTTCAAAGTGTGTTGAAAAAAACGTTATATCCGGAGTGCCACAATTGCTATCACGAGACCACAGCAGTTGGTGGAGAGCTATGAACCCTTACTGGGCACGGTGTCCTCATGATGACCAACGAGGATCGAAAATGGAGCACGCATAGAGTTACGTCGACGACACAGACAGGAATGGTGACGAGACCAGAGATATGTCTCGGTCGGTTCTCGCACGTTTCGGGTGTATCGCAATTGACTCTAGATATTTGTGGCCACCTACGTTGGCTAGCTCCTCTATCGTTCGACGCGCTAACGTACTCCGTGGTCCCCTCTCGCGCTCACAGGCATTAACGGCGATGTAGGGCTGCAACGTACGTGCTCTCCTTTCTCATGAGAGTCGGTGTTGGTTGTAGGTGATATCTCTTTTCGTATCTCAAGTTGTCCAACAGTGATGCGATCACAATATTTCTACCGTTTCACAACGTCAAATGTCCGGAGCATCATTAAGTCGACCTAGCTAGGTGTTAGTCTGAGTCGTGATCGACAACCTAAACTGTGCAGAGACGTGTTTATCAAACGAGGATGAGCTGGCAAGTGAAAATAGAAGTAAGACAAGAAATCATACCAGGATGACATCAGTCCTGCGGCTTACCCGTACACGGTCTGAGGGTGTTGTCAGCCCCAATCCAAACGCGCAACCAGCGGGATGCTGGACACATGCGATGTATTTACCGTTCTTCAAAATTCTCTTAACTCTGTAGAAGCGTTGCTTGTATATCACCAGTACGAGCTCCTTCGAGTAAGTGCTTCTCCACCCAAGCAGTGCACAACAGAGTTGACCATGATTAAAAAACGAAGACCTCTCGTGCCTTGTCGCTTGCTTCAGGAGGAAGGAATAAGCGAATAGGGATACGCCCGCAGACCTCCTGTACAAAGTCATTGCTATCGCCAAGCCAAATAGCATTCATACAACTGCTTTTGTACATATAACTGCTTTTCGGCGGGACAGGGGACAGACACAAACAGCAAATCTCTCCGTCATTGACAGGTATGAACGGAGGGAAAACTAACGTAAGACCACTTGACCCGCCGAAACTCTCTATTTCCTCTCTCGTCCTCCCTCATGTTCCAGGCTCTGAAGAGAAGGAAGGAGATGGCGATGAGGAAACAAGTGACCAATTCTTGAAGACCACCTTGGTCTCGAGGGCCTTGCCGGTGACGGGACTCGTATCGTGCTCCGAAAGCCAGCGCTCGATAGCGGTCCTGTTGAATAAACAAAACAAGATATAGACCCGTCGATCGGAGGTGTTCAATTGAGATGCCGAACATAGAGTGGGAAGGTACCCCGAGCGATGACACCATAAGGGAGGAAGCAACAATCCTACAAGGTTTGGGACACTCAGCACTTCAGCACGTAAATGGTCATCTGGTAAGATCTCACACACCAAAAAAGGGCTTGCTCACCATTGTCAACTTTGACACGTGTGCGATGTTTCCTCCATGCAAACACAACTCCGGAAACTGATGGGGACCTTCTCGAATCGTTTGCAAGCATTTGGATAACCCTGTGGCCATACCACGGATAATATTTCGTGACAGGCTTTAGCGGGGTACGATGACAGGCCAGCAGGGGTGCTACTATACGTCAAGGCAGCAGCAACAACAACCACCACCGCAGCAGCAACAGCAGCAGCAGGCATGGAAAACGATACTCGGTTTCGAGAGGTCGTTCAACATATGCAAAAAGCATTTGTATTGAGGTTGGATGGAGTGACACAAAAAAAAACGCTCAGTTCCCTATGCACTTCGGGGCATTTCGAGGCTTCGCACGCTTCCAGCCCATAGAAATGAAGGCCTACACTGCAGAGGAATCTTGTGCAGCAGAGCCGTGGGACGCACAAAAAAACTCGACTTGCCTTGAATATTGGGAAACCAAAGAACCAAACAATACACATGACATACCACAGACCGAAAACAACGCCGGTATCACACTTCCACGTACGTGAAATCATACCTCTCGTATGTGTAACCGTCGGCAGCAACGGCCGGATCTTCCATCGGGCACCTCGTGATGGGACAAAGATGTTGATGCTGCTGTTGATGCTGCTGTTGTTGCTGTGACACGAACAGAGGCGGTGATGGCAGCGATGACACAAAGAGCATGGACGCGAGGGCAGTAACGCCACGGGTCACCCGCTGCCTGTTACTACACTCTGACATTGCAACGCTCGCCCCATGTAGTGGCGCGAGAGCGAGCGCAGCTCTCGAAAGCGAGCGGTGCACACGAAAGGTGATGGTTTCAATAAGGAATGTAGCATTTTCGGACAGAGCGCTGCGACATATGACAAGACAACGTATGCCAGCCTTGAACGAACGAAACGTTGTATCACCAACTCGAATCGTTCGTAAGAAAACACTCGAGTCCTTTGGAAAGAAAGGGCTGTCCGCAAGAAGCAGTAGTGTCATCTCTCGACAAGAGAGCCGGGACCCGAAATATTCATGGTGAAATAGAAACGTGTGGAACATCGAATGGAAATCGAGAGGGGGACGGGCACTGCTGCAGCTGTTGCACTCGAAATGGCATGGGGGGGAGTTAAACGACCGACATTGACGGTAGTTGTCCTCCTCCCTCCATTTCCACCCGCGAGCGCCGCGAGGCATTGTCGCACGAGAACTGAGTTCACGATTAACAACACGGAAGCTACGTAGGTGCGCACCGATTGGCCCGCTTTCTTCGATCTAATATATTACCGGTGCGAAATAATCGGCGTTCGTCGAGCTGGCATCGCCGCTACCATCACGTTCGTTTCTTGATAGTCCCTCGCTGCAGTGTTCGGAGCCTCTCATTGGCAGCACCTGCTGCTGCTGCTGCTGCTGCTGCTGTTGCCGTTCTGCTTGTTCCTGTGTTACCGTGTACCGAGAACACACGCACGGTAACGACAAGGAACAAGATCGAAGGTGCGGCCGTGCTTGGAGGCATTCCATGCATGACGTGGAAAAGAAACCTAGAGGGCCTCGTCTAGCATTGGACCGCAGAAAGCAAACAATCTCAGTCACAAAGACATCAAACTAAAGACGCAAGGCAAGATCTCCATTCTACGCAAGTACTTCGAGCCGTGGATTCCTATTGTTAATCTGCATTAACACTACTGAAGCCTGGTCCCCCGTTAACGCGCGAGATCAATGGTTTAACAAATACGGCAGCGTTTACATGAGTACAGCCCCTCTTCCACGCGTATATTCCAGTCTGCGAACTGCTTCTGAGGAACGTCACACCCGACGTATATCTCGTTAAACCCTGGTGTCAAAGACGACCTTGAACCAAGGTTGTCACCTGCTCGCAACCGACATCTCGATAGTCCTCCTCGTCCCCACGCACCCCTTTCTCTTCCCCTTCACCCTGCCGCTGGTGCTGGTGCCGCTGCACTTCTTGTTCTTGTTCTTCGGATCTCGCAAACGAGTCGGGATCTGTAAGGCCCACAGCAAACGAGATATCCTCCCTGCAAGTGGTCAAACAACACCAAAATACCGGGAGCTTTAAGTTCGTTCGTATCTTGACAGCGGTGCCTGCCGTTTGCAACTTCTTCCTATGGGTGTTGTTATCTCATCATTTCGTCTAATATCAGAGGCCGACCACGAAGGGAAGTGGCACGGAAAGAGGGCACGGGAAGAGGTAGTGCAACACAGGGCGACACCTAGAGACGGCAGAGAAGGAGCACCAGAGCAGGTGCGCAAAAGGAGGGAAAGTAAAGAGAATAACGCAACATCAGGACAGCGCTACATAGCGAACAGAACAGCACGGCCCGTTTGGGTTCGTACAGCCTCCGCTCACGCGAAACGTCGATGCCAACCATCCGAACACCAATCAAGCTTGTTTTGTTTCACACAAGAAAAACCTGCAAATCATGACCCAACCCAAGTAATGGTGTTGTTCGTTTGTATTAATGGGCAGAGTCGGCGTTCACCTACCCATTCCGTTGTAGCCCTTGCCTTGACTTGGAGTATTGGCATATCAACGCTCACCGAAGAGCTGCATGGCCTTTATGTTGGGTTGAACAAAAGTGTTACCACCGGCTTGACCCTACTGATTTTGGCTTTTTCCTGTTGTCACGATATGTATACACCAACCCGACTATTTTACAACATCATCAAGTGTTATGACGATACCATGATGCGTCCTGAAAAACTTTCGACAAGGACGTCTCGACGCTCACCTGGCCCTATCGAGCCCCCCGCTCCACCATCTCTTAGCTGTCCAGGAAACCCCCTCCAACACGTTCAAGGCCAAGGTCTTGCCTCCCTCCCACGCAGATTCACCTTGGCTGTGATCCGCACACCATCCACCAGCAACAGGTTTGTTGGGATGTTGCTGCCACTTCATAGCTGTTTCTGTTGTTGGTATTTTGTGGATGTCGTGTTTTGTAAGGTCCTGACACTTCACCGTTCCGCACTATATACCCAAACTACCCTCGATTCGATCGTTAAGGTCGACGAACGTTGTCGCCTGAAGCGGACCAACCCCCCTACCCCAACGTGCGTGCTTTCCTTCGCAACACCAGAAGGAAAAATCCTCACTATTGGAGCCCAGACAGGCACAGAAGGAAGCGAGAGGAAAGTCAAAGAAACATGCAATTTCACAAAAACAGTGGAAAGAAACAAGCGGGAAGAAGACGAAACACGACAGGACGACATTGAGCCCGGCGCTCAGGGTCGGGCGGCTACAAGTGAATAATAGTTCTGACGGAACTGGGATTGGTGTAGCAGTACTCTTAACCCTGCCTTGGAAAAACGAAAGACACACCACATGATAAAAGCTGTTGAGGAGCAGAAGGGACTTCTGCTCCTGACACCAGCCTGAAAATCACTACCAAATCCCTCCTCGACGCATAGTCATGCCAAAACGTCGGGATGCGCATGTAACCGACGGGGTCCTAGCGGAAGAGCCCATGACCTAGATCCGGGATGTAAACAAGAGTACATCTTGTTCCTTCTTCGGAGGGGTTCGTACTGCGATCATCAGCGTGTCTACCCCCCCCCCCCCCCCCCCCCCCCCCCCCCCCCCCCCCCCCCCCCCCCCCCCNNNNCCCCCCCCCCCCCCCTCCTCTACCTGGCGCGGAGCACCACCCCCCGTATGGCCGCCGCTGCGGGGGTGGCGGCCGCGTGATCCCGGACACCAGAGAGGGTCCATCGTTGAGGCGCGGTAGGGTCGCGATACACCTGGCAAAGCGGGCAATAAATCAACAAGGCAGAGGAACGATTTCGCTGGCTTGGGATCAGCGGTCTTCGAAATGTACAACAGAAAATTGACTCAGAATGTGGGTGGGTACTGAGGGGCATGTCCGTATTCTAATACTGAGGGGCTGAAACACCAGAAAAAGGTGCACCGTAGTACAAGGCTAGACCACGGAGGCGTCAATACAGTCAGCAAGCAGGAGAAATCCGTCAACATGCGGGTGCGAAATCGACCCGGCCAATCAGGGTTGACTTGTACCCAAGATTGACGGAGTAGGGTAGTGAGACAATCTGCTACCAGCATGGTTTAATTATGGTTGGGATTGGACGAGAACAGTGGGGCTCGAACCACTTGTTGTTGGGTCAGAGACCTTGTCGAGAGCAACTTCCCTTGGACCATACTTGGTGTTGCTTGAAGGCCCCAAGCACGCCACAAAATACAGACAAAAATGCCAAGGCAACGTACAACCGTCCACGGGGACCCGCGCAGATGGAAAGCGGACAGACAATACATTGTAACACATTACATGCGGGATGGACACAGAAACAAGAAAAGGCACATCGGGGCGAACAGGCAAACCCTACCAGATAACGATGAACCTCGACCGCGCACCGCCACCCCTCCGGCGTCGAGTACGAGAGGAGATAAAAATCGTCGCCGGCCTCCTCCACGCGAAACCCTTCACCGCCACCTCCGCTGCGCGAAAGGCCCCTCGGCCACAACCACGACGGGGACCCCGGCCGGGTGGGGTCATCGGCGGTGCCCCACACAGGCAGGGGGAAGAAATCCAAGCGGTTTGACAGGCAGAGCAAGACCACCTGTCGTTGGGGACATCGGGGCTTACTTGCGGAGGTAAAATTCTATATTTGTTGGGCGGGGGTGGGGGGGAATTATGGAAACGCTTGGGGGAAAGAACCCGGCGGCAGCGAGTTGAGAGGACTGTATCTGCCAGGAGCATCGAAAGCAGAATCCCCAACAAGATAGACAGCAGCAGGTCGCGCCCTTGCATGTCGAACACCCCACCCGGAGCTGTAAATGAACATTAAATAGGATCTGGACAACTCATTGGTCCCACACAGAATTGCATCATGAACACACAAAATCAACACCTAAAACACAATATCAATAGAGAAGGAACTGGACAGCAGCGCAAGGACGAACTCCTGTACGAGAAAAAAACCCTCAACACACCAACGGCAGAGTTGGTGCTCGATGCCTCCCTGCTCTCACCGAATCGCCGGGCACGGGCAACTCCCGCACCGAGTCGTAATCGAGCGACAGCCTGAGTTGCCCCTCGCTGTCCAACGGAACCCACTCCTCTACGTGTGGTGCACGCCCAGACACCACCTCCACGAGGTTAAGAGAGCACTCCCCAAGCAATCGATCGTTGCCGTCGCCGCCACCGCCGCTGTCCCCAGCGGCAGGGGTATTTCCACCCATGAGGGTAGTGTCTGCCGGGTCTTCCGGGGTGCCTTTGAAAGCCTTCGCTTTGCTGGTGGAGGTTGTGGGAGTGGTGATACCGACCGCCATCGTCGTGGCCTGAGGGAATGGAAGGAAAAGAACGTTAACACGGCAAGGCGGGTGTCGAGAAATCTGACACCTGATGCTACTTTCCGCGCGATATTTGCGTGCATTGGTGGGGCCGTTGTTGTGGTTGTTTCTCGCAAAAAGTAGACGAGCTCAGGACGAGACGAAAACGGGAGGGCAGCGGCAGAAAGTTGCCCCCCGATCAAAGTTCCCCGTGCTTCCCGGAGAAGAGGGGCACCAAGCAAGCAGGGAGGGCCCGTTACGATCGCACAATAACAAGGCGCCGAAGGGAAGACATACCCACGATGCACTCAATACAATACTCTAGCGCGGGGAAACTTGAGAGTGCACGTCATGCTAGGCAATACTTCTACCTGCGACTGAAAAACAAACCTAACATGCACGTACAAAAGTATCGACAGAGTCTTTTCAACAATGTGCTTGATACATCAAGCCCGTTCAGCGCAGCACACCAAGTGGAAGGAGGTTCCGGCTCGGGTTTGACTCGTCCACGCGTGTTTGTTGCATTGTGAGAGGGTGCACTTGTTAGGTATACATTCCGACTATCCGCTGAGTAATACTTCGTACGAGATTGTTAATTGGGAAGATGCAGAGGGGTGTGGTTTCGCAGGCTACAAGCACAAAACACCAACACCGCAAGTGGTTCGGGTGCAAAAGACGCAACTGAAAAACATATTCAAAGATACAACATACACCACTGCACCACAAGTTGTTTTACCTTTTTCGCCGCGACCCCCCCCGGCCCCTTGCTCCCCCCCCC